ATGAGTTAGCAGAGGACGCGGGACTGTACACACACCTTCGAATTAAAATGGTGACCCAACGGAGAAAAAATTTACGGACGACCAGCTAAATGCACTGCTGTTTTTTTATTTGATTTCTTTTTTTTTTTTTTTTTTTTTTTTTATACGTATGCGCGAAGATCTGTTTGAAATAAAAAACGTGAAATTTTCAATAAACACAAAATGCAATTTAGAGTGTACGATTTTTTAAACTTATTTTAAATACCTTAAGATACAAGAAGTCCAATATCAAACACTCTAGCTCAGATTTATTCTGGAAGAAAAAAATCGTAATAATTTTTAAGTGTAAAATTAATTACCAAAAATTACTACTACTATTTTTAGGTGAAAAAAAATTTAAGATCTTCTGCTGCACAATAATCGTGTACAGTTCCAGTGTTAAAAACCGTTTGTTAAACGTAAATTAATTTAAAAATCCAAGAAATGCATTTGCCCGTGTACGTTCGGCGCTGGAATTAAATTAGGAAACGATCAAAGGATAGTCTCGTAAAATAATTTTCACGAGTCACGCGAGCATGGCGAAAAGTGGCTACGCGTACAATATACATGTACTATACGCATAAGAAGCGCGCATGTTCCACGAAACACCGTTTTAAAAAAGATCCTTTACGCGTTTCCTAACGTAATTTTTTTATTTTCACCCTTATGTACACTTTGATGGTATAGGTGTACTTGCGTGCAGCTATCTCTCTTTCTGTGGCCCTGAAATCGATTTATACGTCAACAAAGGGTAAAAATCGTAAGTTTTACCTCTGTATCCGTATTGATACACGTACCCACTTTTCCAAATGTACTGTGGATCTTACTTGCTAGCTTCTTTGTGCAGATGCAATTATCAATTTCAGACGCATACAACGAACTTGGGTTTACAAACACAACTGAGGAAACTGATGTAATATATACGTACCATTTAAATTAAAAACTGAAATAAAAAAACCAATTTTACAGGTGATATAAGCTTGAGTTGCGGGATAGGTATTAGGATGAATCATGAGCAAGCTCAACCGCCAGAGGGCAGCAGGACAAGCTGCTACCAAGAGATATATAGACACATTATTTGAATACGGTATATTTACCGATATTTACATTGTTTTATAAAAAAATTATAAAAATTGTTTACATTTTTGCTTTTAGCAGTTTCTTAATTTGACTTATATTTAAAGTACCATAATAGTTCTCTTTGGAAATTTGCTCATTCATCCTTTAAATTAAAATCTCTCGCTCTCTCACACACAAGTAACAGTGAAAGTGTATTCGTGAGATGCCATGATAGATAAACCGATAAGTCCGCGTGTTTAAATAGTATATCTATATCTCTAGGTAGCATCTTGTCCTGCTGTCCTCTGGCGGTTGAGCTTGCTCATGATCCATCCTCATTCATACAACTGGAAACTCGACCAAAAGTGTGAATAGTGAAAAATATAATTTTAACGTGATTAGTTGATTGGACAACGACTTTGTCATAATATCTGCCTGATTGAATGACTCAAAAGCCAAAAAATTTAAAAATTCATGCAATACCTTTTACACTTTAGTGTAATTTCCACGCAAATTATGTATCACCTTCCATCCCTCCTCTCCCGGAAAGAATTCGTGGAAAACTTGTTCAGAAACCGCCCAAAAAAAAAGACAATAACCAAAAACGAGTCAAAGGACAAAAGCATCCCGAAGAAACAAAAAGTCCAAGAAGAAGGGAAAAAAACTCCGGTGCAGCACACATCAAGGGACGATTATCATGTAATATTATATAGGTACATGTACGGGAGGACGGGGCGCCGAAATTTCACATCCCGCGCAACTCGCTTTTATTTACTGCGGTAAACTCGTTTTTCCCGTTCTCCCTCTTACGGCTTTTATTGTCACTTTAACGAGTCACTTTGATCATTATATTCGCGCACGCGAGTATATGCGCCCACTGTTTGCCGTGGTTCTGTGTGCACACGTCCCCACCCCCTCCCTCGTTACTACAACTCCTTTTCTTGTGTTTTCTCTTTGGTCTGTCTGCTGCAGTTCTCGCCACAAAAGAAGACACCCTCGTGGGTGCACTTGAGGTCCTCAATTACTCCCCACGCTCTTGTCACGCACTTACTGTGCAAGTGGACGTAAGTATATTAACATACAATACATGTATGTGTATACATGGTTGGAGCATTGTCATCTTTTGGCATCGACCACGTACTTGCATACACATAATTATACATAAATGCATGTAGTTACCATAATCCGGGCGTGACGCACACCTCGTTAGCAAAAAAAAAAAAGAAAAAAGAAAAACAACAAAAGTATCCCGTAAGTGGAGCCTACCGATGAGAGATTATGCGCCCGTCTTCTCCAAAGCTCAATGCTTATGCGTATAGAGCACCGCTCGTAAGTTATATATACATGTATGCACGGTCGCTTAAATTTTCGCTCGGTAACGGGACAAGTTACGTACACCAGGAAATCCACAAAAAATATTCCGTTTTTTTATAAAAAATTTTTATTGAAGCACATCCTTGTTTTGTTTACAATGTCACGGACTGTGAGGTAAATGTCGTGCTTACACGAGTTTCAGTCGCAGTGACACCGTTTTTTTTTCAATTTTTAGTATAATTACTATTATCAAATATACCATATATTACGAAAGTATAATTTGTTCATGTAAATTATGGAAAAATGATGAAAAGTGGATTTTAATGTGCATTATGGAAAACGATATAATATGAAGTCACTGCGACTGAAACTCGTGTACATGACTTTCCCCTCACAGTCCGTGACATTGCAAACAAAATGAGCCCCATCCCGAGGACGTGCTTAAAAAAAAATTTTTATTAAAAAACGGGGGACAAAAACGGGATATTTTTTGTGGATTTACTCGTATACCGCTTGTACGCGTTCGTTGCACGTGTCATATTAGCGCAGCCAACTCGTCTCGCGGGAGTCACGGCGGTGCGTCCGGCGATTAATGTATTATACCTACAGTGACCATATTATCCGCTTCTTATCGGCGCTTCTTCCTCAGTAATCACTTTGTGCATGTTGACACTCGCTCTATAGACTTATCTGGTTACCCGTCAAAAGTAGATGGATGCAACAAGTTTACTGATAATAAAAAAAAGAAAAAGAAAAGAAAAAATGAGTCAGTTGCGGTAACTGATGTGATAAAATTTTTTTTTTCTATCCAACATCGAGAAACGAGTGGACGTATCTGGGTGTAGCGCCGGTACTTTGCCTTTGTTTAAAGGAGAAAAAAACGAGAAATTACATCTTGTTATACGGTCAAACTGTGCATTTGCCAAAGCCGAGGATGTTTGTTCAACTTTATTTGGATGACTGTGGGTATAGATTAATACTCAATTTAAATTAATCGAAAATTTTCCGAACACTAACAAGTATATATATAGGTAAGAGATAGATAACTATATCATCGGCTCGAAACATTACTGTTTATTTATGTAATATTACAGGAAAACATGAAATTAAACATTGACTGTTTTGAATTTGGATTGTGCGAAGCGAGGTGCGAAGTAAACGTTACAAAACCTTCGTCTTCATGGTTCCGCAATTTATTCTTGTTTTTCTTTCTTGCATGAAAATTGCAACAGAGTATGTGTATAATTTTCATACAGTTGTAATTTCTTTTTTTTTTTTTTCTTGTTGATAAAACGTTTTCAGAAAAATGTAGCATTTATAACAAAATATTCCGTCAAAAATCGTAAAAAAATAAAATATTTTAGGCAAATCTCCATGTAAACACAAACTTATTTATTAATTAAAATGTACTTTATAAAAGAATCTGACACAGAGCGATTCCCAGGGCATACATTACATATGTACACGTAAAGAAAATTAATTATATGGATGCAAAAACAAGTATTGAGAAAAAATAAAATCAAAACCATTGAAAATTCGTATTTGGCGTGAAGAAACATCTAGTGATACCCTATCACAAGCGTGCGATCACAATCTCTGTGAAATCGTTGCCGAAAACACGTAATATAAGCACACCATTGCCCGGGTTTTATCATTATTATCATCATCATCGTAATAGTCTCGCACTAATATAATTATATCCACGTACACAGAAATACTCAATTTAACGCGCGAATACACGTACATATGCAATACGCACCACACCCCGCGAAGCCAAGGTAACGGCTGTATTTCTTCCACCCTCTCCCTCTCCAGCTGCATGTCCAATAAATATTATACCGAAACCTTTGTTTTTGTTCTTCAACCCAACTAAGTACACGCAACACTGCATTTGCTCCCGTTAACTCGTACACTCGCTCGTTGGCTTTGTTGAGCGGACGCGAAAATCAATGTCCGCGTTCACGGGCACTGGTCAATTATAATCGCGAAGGGGGGTGAGGGTACTCTCACGTCAACAATTTATACGGCGAGGCGTCGAAAAACCACGAGAAGGAGATAATATTATAATTAGAAGAAGCCCTCGATTGCACCATTTTCCATTCAAAACGCTCGGGAAAAGCTGCGTTATATGTTATACACACCTCCAGCAGAGTCAGCGGGTCGGTCGTAATCGTCCATCGATCGGCTTTTCATTGATGACCCGAGAAATTCTAATAATAAGGGAAGAGGATTTTCTTTTTTTTTTTAAACTCAAACTCGGGCAGATTCAACAGTTTGGTTCTCGTTTTTTTTTTTCAACTCAACAGAGAGATATTATACCCACGTTGATAAAAAAAAAAACTAATCCCTCAGAGGTGAAAAGTACCGCATAGGTGTGTTTATATTCATCCACCCGCATAAATGTATAACACCCCACTGGGCTATGCATTATATATAGCGTACGTATATATACATCAGAGCCGGCACTGCGGAACACGACAACTCACGTATACCCTCGAGCGAGCTTTTCCGCCGAAACCTTAAAAAACCGTCGCTTCGTCATAACGAGAGAGAAAGAAAACATAGTGTCAAAAGTTTCATTCATCCTCGGTGTACGAATGTAAGCTTACCTGTTTATTTTTTCTAGCGTATCGTCTTCTTTCGTCTCGGTGGTGATCCAATTGATTTTGTTTCAGGTCCTCGACTGCTGCTCCACAACTTTGGCTCTGGAAGCCATGTACGCGAGCCTCGACGTCGACTCGCCAAAATAGTCCTCGGTCGGCGATCGAGCACACATCAATGCATCACCGGACGGGAAACAACACAATCGCGTACAACACCCTGCACCACTGCGAGCATGTTTATACTGTGTACATAAATACAACCACGGCTGGATGACAGCTGTGTGTGTGTGTGCTTCTCACACCCCGCTGGCGTTCTTCAGGAGATCGACTCCGATTTTCACCAGGACGAACAACACCAGGAACAGGACGAACAACCAAGTGTCATAGGGTAGCATGGGCGTGATTTACTCCGAGCAGTGCACCATTTCTTTTTCTTTTTTTTTTTTTTTTCACCCCGTCACTCGCGAATCACGGATCGTCACTTGAAATTAGACGGCGAGTTGTGCGTTGTGTATAATTATGTAGGTGTAAAAAAAAGCCTGCAAGCACAGTTGTTGTTGCGAAATCGAACGCGACGGTGGTGCACGAGAGCGAGCGAGGGTGTGTGTATACGAGCGTCGCAAGGTATAATATACAAGAGGCGATGCCGCGACACGCGTCCGACTCGATCGATGCTCGTGCGCAGACTAGCGCGCCGGCTCTCCGGGAAGCGTTTGCCGCGCCGATTCGAGCGTCCCCTCTTTCTCGACGCTCGGCGGTTTCCTTTTTTCTCCACGCGCTGGCCTGACCCGCCCTCGTATAACTACTCACCCCGGTGTGGTGCCTTTACGTTGATTATCATATGGGTATTTGAATGATTTCTCTTGGCGATAATAGAGTCCGTTTTTCAAGGGTTTACAGTAAAGTTCACTTTAGGGGTATTATTATTTACTACAAGTTTTGAGTAATACAAATAATGCAAAGTTTAGGGTATAAAAAAAAATATGTGCTTTGAAAATTGACTCCTGGGAAATGATTGAGCTCTATGATGTTTTGTTGTGTTTTTCAGAAAAAAGTGGAGTATATCCCAACAGTTTTGTCTGATTGAAGATAAAAAAAGGTCACCGAGTACTTGAATCTCTACGTTTTTGTTTGGTACCCTCAGCCCAAGGGCAGTGATGAACAATAAACATGGCACTTTTTCCCCTAATGATTTTGCGATGGTACTTTTTGGGGTGTGACTGACTTTTTCGCAGGAATTATTATACTTTCTAAGAGGAGTGGGTTCAAGATTTCAATCCATCGGAAAAATTAGTTCTTGCAAAACTTGGCGATGAAAAAATTTTTTTTCAAAACATTACAATGACCTAAGGCAAATACAAAGACAGAGCTCTGTTCGCATACGTAAGAAAGAAATTATTGAACGTGCAATTTTTTCAACTTTATAATACAGCACTGCACGTTTTCTGTCAAAATTTGTAAGGATCCCTCATGATTATATGATCTGATAGTCAAACGTATAATATAGGGAATACTGGGTACACTTGAACCACTTTTTACTTCGAAAGTAAGTATACTGCATTGTGGGATGAAAATTGCTAGATATGATAGAATGAGTTTCCTCTAAACGTGTTCGCGAAAATTTTATGCTGATGAGAAAAAAAAAATGGCACAACCGACCCCACTCCAGGGGCGAATGTGACGGTACCTGGGGACGGTTGTGGCAAGTAAAGAACTGAATTAAAATGTCCAGTGACATATTATATTCAGACAAGCATGCTATTCCTTTCTTACCTTGCTGCCCCCCATTATTTCTTCTAGTTTCACTAATACGACCACTGGAATACCGTCCTTTGCCACAACTGTACCCAGTCTCCCCTACTTTTGCAGTGGCAATGCGTTAAAAGAGATAAGGAAATGTATAAAAAACTTTGTTAAATAATGTATCCATAGTTCAATTGAAAAAAAGTACCGTTGAGTAGACATTGAGTACAAAAATGGTTTTTCCTACTCTGCCAATATTTTCTTATGCCTCAATGTATAATCTTGAGACCAAGTTAGTAAGTGTTTGAAAAAAAATTCAACTCTGAAACCCTTCTTTACTGTCACGTGGATACTATCTTACGTTAGAACTCTAGTGAAAGAAAAACAATTTAAAAGCAATCATACGAAGAACATGGGGAAATTTCATCTTTGTTGAGAGTAGAGGAGATATTTAACGCTAATTTTTAAAGATAAACATGTGTGGCATATAAAACAAGTTGAGATGGTTAAGCGAAAAGGCAACTAAAAGGAAGAACGTCTGAATGTATGTAAACGAAATCTGGAATGTTTAATAGCCAAATATAACAAATATCTGCCTAGACTACAAATTATTACCATTTGTATAATACTATACTTTATCAATATAAGTATATATTTTGGTGTTTACTATCGCTCCGATGAACGTACCCATATAGTTTGACTTTTTGCGTCAGTATTTTCATTTTGTGTAATGACATAACGTCCACACGTAATCACTTGCTTACTGTTACACGTCGTTTTCTCAGCTGACTATATTTGGATTGCGAACTCATATTATTTAACGATTTTGCGTTTCCCTTCGATTTTCGTGTCATGGACAATTAATTCAACTTACCTACCTATGTACAACATACGTCACAATAAAACAAATTTTACAAAAAACAAAAATTTTGATTTTACGCCTTGAACGTGTATTTAAACACACTTGGATTTTACAGTGCATGTTTCCAGTTTGCGTACAAATCAAAAAGGAAGAAAAAAAGCACCGTTGGAAACTTCTTGACAAGTTTAGTGTCGTAAAGTTTTGAAAAGTTCCAAAAAGAATAGTGCTGTATTTTCCTCGTTGATGTCGTGATCCACCAAACAGAAGCAATACTTACCTACCAGTCCCGCAAAGAAACAGCCAAAAAATTTTTATCCATTTTTTTTTTTCCAGACAATTTTCAGGCATGGTAACACCCGATCACGTCTACATTACAGCTCCATAAGCCATTATACACATATCGCGCGCATTGTTAACGCGCCGATCGACAAAATGAGCTCTCCCTCGCTTTCTCCGATCCCGAAATATACTCGCCCGGCACATGGACGTAATGTATATACATCTACCGATCGCGCACTGATCCTTTCAACACTATATTTTTCGAGCACACACATCACAGCAGTTGCTTTCTATTCTCTCTCTCTCTCTCTCTCTCTCTCTCTCTCTCTCTCTCTCTCTCTCTCTCTCTCTCTCACCAAGTACAAACGGATACACACACAAAAAGCCAAAATGTTTCTATTGTCCTTTGGCGGGTGTACATCATACCTGTACCCACCGAAGCCCTATACCTATATCACCCACCACAACTCCCCAAGCCAGTCCTTGATATGCACGGGTTGTATGTAAGTCGCGCTGTTATACACGAGCGCTCGCGCGTTACACTTGTTGCTCGCCAGCTATTTTCATTGCTCGCGTGTAAAAGTAAGTTCACTTACAGGCATATATATACGGCATACAACCAATGTGTATAGATCCACTCGTGCCTACATATACTTGCGAGATGAACACGCGTAAGGAGGCGCGTTACGTAAGGTGCTTCGCTCGAAATACCATACTTACGTCCTATTGGATAAGCGCGCCTTTTACCACTAAAAAGTACACCCCCCCCCCGCACTCTACTGCTCTTTATTTTCGATCACGTACAGTGCACATATCGACGCCCCGGGCGAAGACTATTCCCTAATTGGCCCTGGACGAAAACTATGCCCTTTCGACGTCCCGGGCGAAGACTATGCCCTTTTTTCTAGTCCGGACGAAAACTATGCCCTTTTTTTGGTCCCGGACGAGGACTATGCCCGTTTTTTTCGAGCCCGGGCGAAGACTATGCACTTTTCTCAAACCCGGACGAAAACTATACCCTTTTGGAGTCCCGGACGAAGACTATGCCCTTTTTCGGAGTTCGGGCGAAGACTATGCCCTTTTTTTGGTCCCGGACAAAGACTATACCCTTTTTTTCGAGTTCGGACGGAAACTAAGTTAAAAAACACCCCAATGTTAATTACTAACCCCTCTTGTGTTTTACTTTTCCTAAAACAAAAAAAACTCTCCAGATTTGCTGATTTATGCTTTTGGTGGGTGGGTAACAGCTACTAGTACGCTGGAAGAAGCTCACGAATACGAAGCTTTTGAAAACGATTAAACATTTTAAGATTTCGCGATACTTGTCTGAAAACGTTTGTTATAAGTTTTATTTTCACATCGAGATTCACATGCACGTGAATCTACAGACGTCATTGTAAAAAAACAACACGTAATCATTATTCTTAGCAGGTCTAACGGCTTCAGTATTTGGAGTTTTGGTAAGTGTTTGAAAAAAGGAGTTTTTGAGCTTTTTTTAAACGATTCCGTGAATTGTACATAACAATAACTGTAATTAATTTAAACTTGCTAATTTATTCTTGTGTTAAAAAACACTTTGTAATCTAAATATTCATGTCTTGCAAACATTAATTAATAAAAAAAAGTTTACTTTTTTCTCAATTTTCTTACGAACATTATATTTTATTATATCACGAATTGTACAAATTTTATTAATTTTTTAACTTCAAGTTACAATAATTACATTAGTTACTTATTTGAAAATAAAACATAAAAGAGTCTTTCATTTTCATTAATTGCAAATTACCATGCTTATAAAACGATTCCTGAGTTTGTTTTATTATTTACAATTATTTATGTTAATGTAAACAACAACCACTACATAAGTATATTTGACTATATATCTAATTGCAAAAACAAATGTACGGTGAGATTAAATGAATTGTACTTCATCCCGGCTCCAGAAAAAGTCAATATCTTCGTCCAGACTCGGAAAAAATGTAATAGTTTTCACACAGACTAGAAAAAACGGGTATAGTTTTCATCCGGACTCGAAAAAAGGGCATAGTTTTCGTCCGAGCGCGAGAAAAGGGCATAGTCGTCATCCGAACTCCGGAAAAGGGCATAGTCTTCGTCCGGGATCGTAGAAGGGCATAGTTTTCGTCTGGAACAGACAAAAGGGCATAGTTTTCGTCCAGACTCCAGAAAAGGGCATAGTCTTCGTCCAGGCTTCGAAGCAGGGCATAGTCTTCGCCCGGGGCGTCGACATATACATGTACACTTGGTGGGGGTGACGCGGGAGAAAGATGTTTTAAAAGGTGACTTTGGAGCAGCGACGAGTGCCCAAACTCCTTGAATCGAAAACAAAACACTTGCACTTGCCACGTCGGGGTGGTGCGAGATTTCCGAGGGATCGGCCGTGCGAACGAACCGAGGATTTCGGGGTACACAATGAATACACATAATATAGGCAGTCGCGGCAGGGACTCCCTGCGTGCAGGGCTTTGTACCGAAGCACGTAGGGAATTTCAAGGGTGATTTACCACCTGGGTGGAGTACATGTGCATGCTTATATATATGTACAAGAGGTGTGATGGTTGCAGTTTATTGTCTCTCGGCTCCCGCACTTCCGGGCTTCTCCTGGACGAGGACGGAGAGTTTCTATATGGGGTTACGGGGCTCCTTCGAGGAGCGCGCGTTTTGGCATTTCGTCGTGCTGGCGCGTTTGTATCGAAAAATACTTACTCTGGTTGGCGATGAAAAGGCTGTGCTTTGGCTCGACCAATTAACGGGGAATCCCCTGTTTCTC